AGAGGGGAGATGGAGCTGAGATGGGGGGAAGAACTTGTTTGGTGTGAGGGGGGTGAGAGCCTGGCCCAGGTTGGCCAGAGAAGCTGTGGCTGCCCCATCCCTGGAGGGGTTCAAGGGCAGGTTGGAGGGAGCTTGGAGCAACCTGGTCTGGTGGGAGGTGTCCCTGCCCAGGGCAGGGGGTGGCACTGGGGGGGCTGTAAGGTCCCTTCCCACCCAAACCATTCTGTGTTCTGTGACTTGTAGGCTCATATATTAAAATAAGCGCCTTTTATTTAGTAAACATCTAGCATGTGGAGAATTCTTATTTCCTAATACAAATGTTACTGGATTAAAAGATGCTTGAATGCTTGAATTAAAGGGTGTGCTTAAATATTTTTGCGAATTATAGGATTGACTTGATGTGACTGTGAAGTCTTGCCTGAGTAAACTAATAGTAGTGAGTATAAACACTGAATAATTCAGATTTGGACACAGTTCTTCCCCACAGACGCTGAGTGGCTTATGTTCTTTATCCACTTAGTTTCCTGTGTTAAGATGTCAAGCAGTCTCTTAGCTTCCTTTGACTTATATGGCGAAGCCAATCTTTTTACCATGTCTACTGAATTATAAATATTGTTCATCTGAATTATAAAACAAACCCCCAAAAGAAAACCCCAAAGACCCTGAAACCAGAACGTGTTGTGCTGTGGTTTGTTGTTTATCATTTTTAGCAAGATCCCCTATCCATCGCGTGTGGCAGTAGTGCAGAACTCCTACTGCGTGTTCAAATTGATTCACTGCTAATGTATTTTGCCAACAATACCCTTGTTTTCTTCAAAATTATCATACCTGGCAACAGTACCAACATGGCTTATCCAGAGCGTTATTCTGTTACACGTTTGTACTGAGTATACAGAATGTTTTTTTATTTTCTTGTCTCAGCCTCATCCTCTCCCTTTTGTGCCATCTGCTGAACAAGAGGGTTTATTCTCCTTCTGCCGTGTCTGTGTAATAGAAGCAGGAGCTGCTTTAAGTGAGGTGTTCTTGAACTCTCAGTTATCACAGGTTGTCAAGCATAAAACTGAAAGCCTTTAGGGGCAGGTATAGAGTGCCTTGTTTCCTGGGAGACAGTAACATCCCTGGGAGGGGCTAAAAAAGCCTTCCTGGGCATCTGAGATCTGGCCAAGCCGGTGCTTTGTCTGAATGGCTGCAATGTCTTACTTTTCCAGTTTTTAAATCTGAATATCTGTGGAGAAGCATTTTGAGATGGTGCATTAAAACCCTTACAGTACCACAAAGCTAAGCAATGTAGAGATGTCAACTCCAAAACCAGTGTTTTTAGGAAAAAAAACCTATAGTATTTTCAGAGTGTTTCTTACATTGAGTGCTGAGTTAACACTCGGTGTAATTACTCTGTGATCCCAAGGGCTAGGCAGCACTGTAGGAATTACACAGTGCTGTTGGGGTTCCCACACAGTGGAGACTTCTGGTGGGATTTTTGGGGCCAGGCTGAATATATGTGTTGTCCTCAGGCTTTTGGGTTCTTCCCCTCCTTTGTCCCCCCCCCCCCCCCCCCCC